CTGTAAATGGAAAACAATCGAATCAGGCAATACGAGAATTTGTTATATATGCTGTGTCAAGTTATTAAACTGTCTCTACAAAAGCCACAGTGCTATTGTATGGCATGAATTTCGTTCTGAATTATTCGCAGCAAAACACTATCGTATGTTGCCGAAATTCGTCTTGTTAATGACCGGATGAACAGTAAAGGTTTGGATTTTTCACCTATAATTTATTACCATCAATAAATCACACAGATTATGTCTATAGTTTTGTGATATATTTGACCAAGTTCAAGTCAATATGCAATGTAAATTTGATTCGGGAACAGAATTGTAAACGAGCATACGTTGAAGAGTGAAGCAACTTTAGAGTTTGGCTCTCAGAGTTTACTTGCCAGAATTTCAAAGCAAGAGCCAACTTTTCAGCTTGACCGAGGCGATAATCCTCAATAAACAAGTATGTTTTAGGACAATACAATCAGAAGTCACCAGAACAAAAACCGAGGAAACCAAGGGATGCATTATTTATGAATAGAAAGTGAAAATATAGAACAAAATTTACTCTCTGTAATACCTTCCGACGACAATATTTATAAATAACATAATGTAAAAGAAATAAAAATATCATTGGCATAATTTCGTCGATAATTTGACATCATTACGTCCTGACTGCGAGCCTAACAACATGATCCCTTTTAAGCGAGGAAGCACATGCAGCTAGCGGGCGTGGCCCCTGAAACACCGGACGTTTCGTGGCCCCTGAAACACCGGACGTTTGTGTCGCTAGCCATGACCGAACGATTTACCCACATTCTTTCACCATTGTAAGTCAATTTCAATCAAGACCAAATAAGGAAGGTAAATTCTATGATAGATCACATCTTGACGACAAATATAGAGCAATTCAAAGGGATTGTCGAGTCAAAAAGAGAAATTGGCGCGTGCAAAATCTCCAGATGACCGAATTTTCGACATTGCTCTCGTATTAAAATTAAATACTAGTGCGAATATTGAAATTCGTTGAATTCGAATATTTGAAACGTTGAATGAATTCGTTTGTGAAAATTGCTATCAATAGCTTAGGATACCGAGTCAAGAAGCAAGTGGTATCTACCGTGTTTTGTATTAAAAGTTTGTTATAATGAACACCGTGATCACAATAATGATTCTATACAATGAACCCCGAGTTCATAATAAAGGTTAATTACGATGAACATAGTGTTCATAATATAGGTTCATTACAATGAACATTGAACACCGTGTTCACAATAAATTTTCATTACAATGAACACCGTGATCCTAATAGAGGTTCATTATAATGAACACCATGTTCACAATAAATTTTCATTACAATGAACATCGTAATCCTAATAGAGGTTCATAATAATGAACACCATGTTCACAATAAATTTTCATTACAATGAACACCGTGATCATAATAGAGGTTCATTATAATGAACACCATGTTCACAATAAATGTTCTTTACAATGAACCAAGTGATGAAAGTAAGTACACTGCCGCATTCCAACTTGTGTACCATACCGTACAATTTCCCAAGCGATAAGCACAGCAGCGATAAGAGCTACGCACCTGAGAACAGGTGTACCCACACTTGAAGTCCTCGTAGCTACCTATGACCAGGGTGGGTTTATACGCCCAATTAATAGGGTGGAATTCTGTGCCCAAACGGGGTGGAATTATAGGCCAAAACAGGGTGGAATTCTAGGCNCTCGGAAACCAAAAAAGAATAAAGGGACTTGTTCAGCTTACCTGGCGTGGCCGCTGCAGCTGATGATGAACTGTACGACTCTACAGGAACTTCTACAGGTGAAATAGCGGGTTTTACGGTGGGATCTTTGGCAATTTCAGGATGAACTACGGATGTATTCGGTGTTTGACTATCTGGGTTCGCATCGTTGTTCTTTGGACCCGTTTGAGAAAGCATAGTGATACTGGACGATGAGCGGTCTACATCCAAAGAGATTTCTCTTTCTACAGGTGAAGGAGCAGTGGATGAAGTCTCGCTGACATCGTCAGGAAGTGAATGTCTGGATTGTGGAGACGATTGCATGGGTGTAGGTGACTCGGCAGACATGCTATCGTTGTCCACATCAGTGCTGGCGATAAGATCAGGCGTGTCACCAGAAATGCAGCGTTCAGAAGCATCGTCAATTGAAGAAGATTTGGAGGAAGGCAAGAATATTTCGGCTGTTATAACAGACGACTGCTTCACTAATTCTTCTAAGTTATTTTCACGGTGAGCAGGACTTCGGTTGGAGCTTTTCGGAGAGTGATCAGTTAAATTTTCTGTCAGAGTTCTTGTTGACCCTGAATCTTCCTTGGTGTTATTTGAAATCAATTTTTGACTAGAAGCATCACTGACAGTAGAGGAATTATCCCCGAAGCCATTAGACGACATTGTGACATGTTGCTCGCTTTGCTCAATAGAATGTCCACCGTTGACGCCGTTCGTGTGAAGATGAACGCCGTTGTGGTTAACGGCATTAGGTTCTTCAGGAACAGTTGTCCGTTTTGAGTGCGAAGACTCCTCAGGAATTGCAGTAACTTGACAAGCCTCAGGTTTTGGAGGAACCGGTGCGCGTCTTCGGTTCCGAGGAGCGGCTTGAATCCCACCCGAAGGAACCGGGTGAACCTCATCCGGAGGAACTGGGTGAACCGGCCCCGTTGGGGCAGAACCAGATTGGGACTGAGGTGGACCAGCAGCGCTTTCAGGTCCGCTTACTTCTGAGTTAGGAAGGCTGCCCAGAGAGATTTTCATTGATAAATTGTCTATATTTCGTCATAATCACGCGTCATTGGTCACAATCATATGTTAGCTCGCTTGGTCACAATCAGCAGGTATGTTCGTTGGTCACAACGGGTCGCGACGCATGTAAAGTTAAAGAGGAGACTTTTAATTTGCAATCTTTATCACAAATTTGTGAGCACGGTTAATCATACCCATCAGTCATAACGAGATTTATGATTTGACAAAATTATGACATGACGAGATTTATGATTTGACAAGATTATGACATGGTTTATTATTATGACCCGGTGGAAGTCTAGTAGCTATTTCAAACTAAACTATCGTCAGTCATGAAAATATCCGGTCAAATGACAAGATTTTAGATCTTCTATGAACAAGTCACGGAAAGTTCAAGATTCGGCGACAGACCACATCAGCAGGCCTACTCCTTAGCGCCGACATCACTGTGTTATGTTATGACATTTATGACTTGACAAGATTATGACATGACGTCATTTATGACTTGACAAGATTATGACACGACATTGGTGACTTGACAAGATTATGACATGACGTCATTTATGACTTGACAAGATTATGACACGACATTGATGACTTGACAAGATTATGACATGACGTCATTTATGACTTGACAAGATTATGACATGACATTGATGACTTGACAAGATTATGACATGACGTCATTTATGACTTGACAAGATTATGAGAAGACGACATTTACGATTTGACAAGATTATAACACGACATTTATGACATGACAAGATTGTGACAGAACGACATTTATGACTTGACAAGATCAAGTCACATATTTATGAACAGGGCTAGTCACGCTACCAGTCATGACCAAACTATTCACCTGGCGCCCTGGTTGCGGTGGTCAGGCAGCTCGTGGTGGTCTGAGGAGTCTGAGCTGCGGCGCGAGAGATTCGACGCTTCCGAGGATACTTCTGCAGTCTGTGTCTGAAATTTTATTATATTTATTAAAGTCACTTGTTTGCTTAAATCGCAAGTTAACTAGGAATTTAAAAGCAAAAACAATACCACAAATATTCACCATATCTTTATAAGAGAAAACG